GCATAAAATCTAAAATCAAGGCAAGGCAATAAAGCATATAAACACTTAAAGTAATCAGAGACGATGGCCTCGTACCGTTCTCGGAATTAAACACACGAGAGAAGGGGTAGGAGAGCCGAAGGAAGGCACGGTCTTGCGGGGGTTCGGGCCTTGCGGTGCGATGGGCGTCTTGTGCGGTTGCCGGCGACTTGCGTCCACTTGCTAGGTACCGTGCGACGTCTGGGGGCAGTGACCTGAAGCCTGGGCACTCGAGCGAAGGCCTAGACGCACGATGGCTGGCCTGAGGAGTGGACGTGCGGTGGAGGGTCGGGGCCTACGCGCGGCAAAGTAAAGTTGCGAGGGGAAGAGGGAGTGAGCGAGCGAGAGAGTGAGGGAGATGGGGAGAGAGTTGGCGGCTGAGGGAGTGGAGAGGGAATGAGGGGGGAAGACCTCTCCTTTTATATTGGTAGGGTTAAAGGCTTGCCCTCCAAGCACTTGCCTAATATGCATCACAACACAAAAGGAAGGAGGAGTAATAAGGGGGCGGATGGACGCGACTAATGGCGCGGTTAGGGCGCGGCTCGCGGCCTCGGCTCGCGTCTCACGGTCTCGGTTCGAACTTAAAAAAAAAAAAAATTAAATTACAATAATATAATTAAAATATTTATAGTATTTAATAATTAAAATAAAATACCACAATTAATATTTATATAAGATAAATACAATGAAGTACATAAATCACTTTAGCATTTAGGCAATTAATTAATAATAATATAAGCCACAAATAATGATAAATATAACAATAATAATAATAATAATCCAAAATTATTCATAATCGAACGGGGCGTCACAACTGGGTCCTAAGGGACTGCTGGTCGAGAGGGGTTTTTCCTGGAACCAGGATCTTGGAAGAAGTGGAGTCCTTAGGAGGGGGAGCCTGGTGGTCGATTCTATGACGGCCGTCGACCTTCTGACGGTCGTCAGTTCTCACTGAACGATCGTCGACCCGGTGGTGACGATTGGTGGACTTTGGATGGTCACCAGATCTCTGTTGACGATCAGCAGTCTTCTGACGATCGTCGACCTTGGAAGAGGTCGAGGACTGGGTGGTCGATTGAGAAGCGGATTTGGGCGGTTGCTGTTGCTGCTGTTGTTGAGGGTGTTTCTGTTGCTGTTGTTGTTGCTGTTGTTGTTGCTGTTGTTGTTGCTGTTGTTGTTGTTGTTGTTTCGGTTGCTGCTGTTGTTGGGTACCCTTCGGCGGCGGCGGAGGAGGAGGAGTTTGCCGTGAAGGTGATCGTGGAGGAGGCGGTGGAGTTTGTTGAGAGGATGATGGCTGTTGCGGCTCTGGTCGAGGCTCGCCGGAGCTGGTCGAGTCAGTGGCATTATCGCCGGTCGAGCCAGCGGCAGCCCCTGACTTCTTTTTCAGGGGCACTCTCCTCAGAGGAATGTTGAAGCTGGGAGCCTCTGCACAAACGCATCAAAAAGAATAAAGAATCAACTTTAGAACCTACTTACAAGGAAGAATAACAAATGCACGACAATGTTTAAAGCAAACCGATCGGGAACTACCTGGGTCACCTTCAATACGGACAAGGTCGAGAATCTCCTCGGTGGGAGGGGAGAGGGTCTTGTGAGTGATAAGACCACAGAAATGGAGAAGATTCTCATCCCTGAGAAGTTGTTCAGAGGCAACGGTCTTGGAATTCCAAGTATGGACCCGTTGCTCGAAAAGGGGATTGGAGGGGGGAGCAGAAACTTCCTGAGGAACCTCCCTCACCCAGGGGATGGAGGGCCAAGGCAATGGTGCCTCAGGTCGAACGTAAATGAACCTATCGATCCATTTAGGCAGATTGGAGGGGATGTCATTGATGAAGTGAGCGCCGTTGCGACTCTTTAGGTAGAGCCCTCGGGCTTGTTTGGAAGGAGTGTAACAATAATGAAAAAAGGCGAGGTCGAAGCGACCGAGGCGAATATGACAGAGGATTATTAAAATGGTCATAAAACGGATGGCATTTGGGGGGAGTTGATGCAAGGGGAGCCCAAACCACTCGCAAATTTGAAGTAGCTCGGGGTTCAAGGGAAAACGCAAGCCCATCTTAAATTGGATTTCAAAGAAGGTGTAGCAATTCGCCGGGGGCTGGTCATATTTGTCGGACCCCGAGGGAAGGTAGAAGACCCAACCAACAGGTTGACCGATCCTGGAAGGACTAACCCAGTCACTGGAAAGGGTAAAAGAAGAGGGATGTTTGGAAGAGGTTTTAGAGGCGGCTTTGGTCGATTTTTTCTTGGGTGGGGAGGCAGAAGCGCCAGGTTGGGAGGAAGAAGGAGGGACGGTCAAGGGGGGAGAGGCAACTTCATCCCTCTCAGGCTCATCTAATTCACCAATAGCAGGTCGGCGGCGTCGGAGGGGGATATTGTCCATGGTGTCACCGGAGTTGGAGGAAGCAGCTTGAGCGGTAAAGACGCGGAGGGGGACAGTATCACCGGGTCGAAGGATCGAGAGAGGAACGGCCTCAAGAGCAGAAGGTAGTATTTCAACTGAGTCAGAAGAGGTCTCAGAGTCTGAAAAGAAAAATCAAAACAAAGACAAGAGAGAATAATATCAAAAGGGGGGCCGTCGAAAAGAAGAGAGAAGAAGGATTAGGGTTTTGAAAGAAAGAATTCGAGGATATAGAGTCGGAAATTTCAACAATTTTCAATGGAGAAACAAAATTCCCAACATTCAACAAACAAACAAGGGCATCCCAAGCATAAATCCAACACAAGACAAACCAATTTGAGACAATTCAACGGGCAGATCAGGAAAACCCAATATCGAAAATCCAGAGAATATACAGAACAGAGCAATAAAGAAAACAAAGTCAAGTACGGAGGGACTTACTCATAACCAAAAGATGACGATGGATGGAAGTTCGAAAAAGCGCAGGAGAAACCGTCGAGAAAGTAGGAGTTTTTGCAGAAGAGAATTCTAGGCACAGAGTAATTCGAAAGCTGAGAAGGTGAAAAAAGTTGGAAAATACGCTAAGTATGGAATTTATACTCTGGAAATTGAAGGGCGGAAAAATAAGAACCGTCAGATTAAAGGCAGATCCAACGATGGGAATATTAATTGGCACGGAGCTCAAAACGGACGCGTTAGGCGAGGAGGCGCAATAATTAAAGTATCTGACACGTCTGACATGCGGGACGCGTGGCAGGAAACGGATGGGACAGAAAGGACTTAAAGTGGGTGACTTTATTGCCAGGAATTAATGGAGAATTATTCGAAAAAATGAGCGGGAAGCTCACCAGCTGGTCGATATCTAGAGACGAACCACCCAGAAAGACGATAAATGCTAATCTACTCTTAGATCGAATCATTCAGATTCGACCAGAGTGGGGGGGACTAGATGATATGGGATATTATACCCACAAGGCAGAACCGGTCTGTTGACCGGTCGAGGAGGTCATATTATGAGGAAACCAAGGAAATCGAGCAGTTAACTAGTCGACCAAGCAGGGCTGTCGACCACATTATCCTTCGACCAGATATGCGATCGAGCAATTTATTCGACCTAAGCAGGTCGATTACTTCGGGGACTTAACATCACGCTGTTCGGCCTAGTCATAGGCGCGTGAAGGAAGCCTCTGACAGAATCCCAGGAGAATATTTACCCCATGTGCAGGAGGACACGTGTCGAGAAAGTAGTGGTGGATAGCGATAACCACCTCTGACAGCTTACCCCATGTGTAGGTGGACACGCGGCGAAAGAGGATTGGTGCAGGCGATAGTGGCGACGGCCGCCTCTGACACACGCGTTTGGTGTGTACGGACGGGCAGCTAGGGCAGACAGCTCATCAAATCCGGGCAGCCCTAGGTCAGGTATCTCACCCCTATATAAAGGGGGTGAGCCTTTCTTCTTCAACACGATCATTCCATCACTCTTGAGAATTGATTGAATATACACTGACTTAAGCATCGGAGGCTCTTCACCGGAAAACCCCTCCGGTGTGAGAGTTCTTTGTAGGTACACGACGTTCAACCGGCGAGAAGGAAGGCGATTACTCAAGTTCCAGCCGGTCGAGGAGTTTTGTGTTACCAATATGGCTAATCGAGAGTTGAAGAAAAAGGTTGAAGGTTTGGAAGGCCAATTCAAGGACATAAGCGAGAGCGTGGAGGATCGGTTTGGATCGCTCGACGAGGGACAGATCAGCACCAATGCTGTCGTGGCTCGCCTCGAGCAGCGCCTGGAGGAGGTGTTGCGCGGGTTCCAGCGACAGCAGCAACAGGAGCCACCCCGGGTGAACGCACGTGAGCGTCTAAGGCAACAGGAGCAGCAACGGGCTGAGCACAACCCCGAGGAAGAGGAAGAATACGACCAGCGGTCGCAGGCGTCGAACGTACAGGAGCAAGGCCGCGCCGAGAAGCCAAGGATCGTGCTCTCGACGTTCACGGGAACCAACCCCGACGCTTGGCTGAACAGGGCGGTGCAATTCTTCGACTTAAATGAGATGCCGCAACGTGACTGGGTTCGGTATGCGGTGTACTATTTAGATGGTGAGGCCAACGTGTGGTGGCAGTGGCTCACGCGCGTGTATCACGAGCGGCAACAACCGATCCGATGGGAAGATTTTGAACGCGAGCTCCTTACGCATTTTGGGAACTCAGATTATCATAACGACGACGAGGCACTGACCCGGATCCGACAGACGGGGAGTGTACGTGACTACCAAAAGGAGTTCGAGAGATTGGCGTGCCGGGTTCGCGGGTGGCCGGAGAGCGCGCTTGTTGGCGCGTTTGTTGGAGGGCTTAGGTATGATCTCGCGGCCGAAGTGCGATTGGAGAGGCCGGAGACCATGCACAAGGCCATGGAGGTTGCTAGGAGACGGGAGGATCACTTGGCCGTGACTCAAAGGGGACGGGCAGATTTTCGTGTCCCGAAGCCGCGGCGTGTGCCGGCGACCGTGGCCGCACCTAGTGCGAACGCGAGGCCGCCGGGCACCTTTAGGCCACCGGCAACCGAGGTGAAGAGGTTGACGGAGGAGGAGATGGCACGGAGACGTGAGAAGGGGCTGTGTTTCCGGTGCGAGGAAAAGTACACACCGGGACATCGGTGCAAGCAGAATTTCTTGATCGAGTTCGTGGACTCGGATGACGAGGAGCAGGTGATCGAGGAAGAATGGGAGATGGAGGTCGAGGTGCTCAATGACGAGGCCGAGATCTCAGTCCATACGATGGCGGGCACTAAAGGCCCGAGGACTATGAAGCTACCGG